GTACCTTGGGGAATATCCTTTGGATGGCCTGAAGCTGCTTCCTATTCTTCATGGCTTTTTTTAATCAGAAATGCAGTTGGCATTTTGACAAACCATACTGACATTTATCAGCGAGTGCTCTGTCAGTTTGGTTGAAGTAAATCCCACTTTACCCGGTATATACGAGACTGCATTCCGTGTGATCAAGTGAAGTGGTCAGACAGCTCTTATTAGCCAACAAAAGAAGGCTTGCCTATCTCAGACACTGCACAACAAGAACACATTACATAAACAAGGTCTTTCACCCTAAACCTCCTCAATCCTCCAAAATCCTCCTGGCAGTTTTGGAGGATTTTGGAGGATTGAGGATGAATGCAATCTACAATTCTGGAGGATTTTGGAGGATTGAGGCTGAATGGTGTTTGAACAAGAGGAGGGTTTTGGAGGATTGAGGCTGAATGCATTTTGAGAGGCAGGGCTGTTGGGGGATTTTGAAGGATTGAGGCAGTGGGTATCCTTCATTTGAACATACCGGTACGTTCATAAGTATTTTGGAGGATTGAGGATGGTTCCAAGCAAAAAGGTCCTGGGGGATATACATTGTATGCATGTATCACAAAAGAAACTTGCCAAATTACCAAAAAGCTTACTGCATTCTCTAAAATTGTAGGCCTAATATCCACTGAGCTGAAAGTTCAACAGGTTTAGGTTTGAGCATTCTTCTGTGGATCTTGAGAAGTGTTGAACACCTCTCAAGATCCACAGAAGAATGCTCAGTTGAAATAGTGGAAAGAACAAAACACACGAAAAGCAAATGATCCTATATAGGCCTCAAAAGAGTGGCGTCTAACTGCCTAGTGCACATCGCTGATTGACGTCAGCAATTATCGCGGCCAGCAAAATTCTTGTGACAAGCCACACCGAGTCATTATACAAGACGAAGCCATTTGCAACATGCACAAATTTAAGAGACAGTAATCACATACCTTCCTTGTTCATTATACCTACATACATGTACAATGCCTAAGGCAGAATATCCAACTCGTTAACTTGACAAAATTTGAGCAAGAGTCCTGGCAAATTTGTCAAATTTTATAAGATAACTGAATAAAATGTCAGGCTGTGCCATATACCGAATACTCAAATATTAGTTCATCAACTTAATATACGGTACAATGTAATTCAAACGTAAAAAAAAAAGTGAGCGGTCTCTCTGAGATGATTGAGGATGTTCTTTTAACCGTGTAGGTTGCTTGTTTTTGTTGTTGTCAAAAGACAATTTCGCACACGATTTGAGAACTTCTTGAATCTGTGAGGAGTATTACACATCAAATTTCTTCTTCAAAATTGGTTAATTACATCAGCCATACTGCTGCTTCTGCTTTTACGTTTATGAGGTCTTTGTCAATTTTTTTTTACCACCTCAGGCGCACGCAAAAAAGCAATCGGTGGCCAGTTTTTAAGCTAGCGCATGTTAATCTTGATCAGCGCACTTCAAATATTTGAATATTTGATCACGTCCACATTAAAATTTAAACCAATACCAAATTATTAAAAACCCACAGCTCTAATAAAATGCTTAGAATCTACCTGTAAACTGATGAACGTCTCAAGACTGAATTTTTTTTCTTCTGGAATTCATGAACATTTTTGCAGTAAGAATTCCTCTAATTTTCAGGACAAGTTTCAGTCTGTTTCGGATAAAAGAAAGGGTTGGAATTGAAACAACAATCGGAAAGCTACGAAGTATCACATTTTAAACCAAGACGGTATGATTACAAAGCAACACAATATAACGGTTATCTCAAACAGTGCCAAAAGACTAAATACGAAATCGGCATCTAAAACCATTCTCCCCTGCTTCTTGAAAGAGCGAGCTCTATGTTTACCCAACGTGCCTCCTTTGTTAAGTCGCGCCTTTAGCACTTGCGATCATAACTCTTGCTCATTATAGACTCAGTACGCCTACCGGTAGAGCCCCCAATGGCAGCAAAGAGAGAGTTACATGTAGGAGGTTGCCATGTGGCTGGCTGTCACTCGTGTTTGTGCACATGGGGTAAGGAGAAATTCAGTTATCCTAATTTTGTTTGTTTCATAACGAAACACGGTTATCCAATTTCACCGGCAGTTCCCATCCAGCTCACTGTCATGTCAACAAAAAGTGACGAGTGAGAGGCTGCATGCAACTCCCTTCACACCAGTGGTAGATACCGGTACATGTATCAACGGTTTTGGTCCAGAAGCATTATGTGAAGCAGAGGCAGTGATGGATTTTGACGGACATGATCTGCTACATACATGTACTGTAAAACTAAGTAGGGAGTTAGGGTTAGTGGTCACAAAATGCCATCCACTATTCGTGCACAGAGCCCATTCTACCTTGTTAAATTTTTTGCTTCATGGAAAAAAAAACACTGACAAAAACAACAGCGAAATTTTTAAACCCCCCCTCCAAAAAAAAAAAACGAAACAGTGTCTCTAGATGAAAGCAATACTCCCTGAGGTAGGCCTGGATAATCCTTCCCATCACAGAGTGTCGAAAAACATCTTAGTGTGAAAATAAAGATGTGACATTTGAAACATTAGATAGCTGCCTAAGGGGAAAACACAACACACTGAAAGCGCAAACAGCCGATAGTTTGGGAGAGGGAGAGAGACGAAAGAGTTAAAGATGTACTGTTTGCGCTCCTCACAAAATCAGAGGAGTTTTTTTCTCGAGGAGGTTTTGACTTGTAAAGTTGATTTTAACTTAAAACAAAAAAAACCTTACTATTGTTTGTTTTAAGAGTTTTTGAACCCTTCCGATAAAAGAAAAAAAAAATGGGTTTTTTTTGCACACAAACACGTACTGTGGGAGTAGACTGGTACCTGGTCCATACATTACTGATCCTGATAGGGGCAGGAATCAGTCCATCCTGTCAGAACTGAGTTCTTGTTGAGCCGCAAATAACATAAAATTTGTAAAGTATTAATTCCATACCTAAATGTGGGCCAAGCTTTGTCTCATTCCAAACTGAATAACTTTATTATTGCAAGAAAAATAGCAAGTTTAAGAAACTAATATATTTTTTTTGGGGGGGGGGCAGTGAAACCTGTGGACAGTACATCTTTCTAAAATCACAACCTGCTTCGGCTGGCGAATCGTGTCGTTAGTTAATGATTGGTTTGAGGCATACAGAAAACAACCGGCTAAAGGCGTAGGTGGAGGAAATTCTAGGAAGGATGTGGACACGGCTGAAAATGATGCCTTTAAAAGTACCGCACTGATAAATTTGGATTATAATGAAAGAGGATGTGCCTTGTAAAAAAAACAAATTATGTTCTCCACTCCCTCCCTTACAAACCCCAAGCTCCACCCCCAACCCCTCCAACACCCACCCTAAAAAGTTAGTCACATGCAATACATGTATCCATCACATAATAATTTGGCTGAAAATTCTATTTTTAAAATTTTTTTTGTTGGGGGGGGGGGTGGTTGTTTGTTTTCTGCGCTTTCATTAAAGTACAATTTCAAACTTGTTTTCCAGTTTGAAGAAATTTTGTCCCTGACATTTACTGATGCTCTACACACTAGAGTTTCGTAAACACGTATTACATACAAAGTACATGTACATGTACAGTTACATGTACATCATTTGCCTGTTATTGTTAAATTAATGGAAAAACTCATTAGGAAACCAAGAAATTGTCGGACAAGGCTTCCCTAAAGGTGCTCGCCCCAACCTACCGGTAATTGGAAAACTCTACGAATTCAATCCACACTGACCAAAATAGTTTCACAACTCTGGAAAACAACATCTGTGTGCCACATGGATAATAATTAATTTCCAACATCATTAGAGAAAAAGTAATAAGATAAAGACTTAAGGTTGCACCATATGGCAAATCTCTGTTGTGAGTTTGTGAGGTTCTGAAAAGAACCCAGGAATACTCAATGTTTTGGACAGTACAACTCTGCCCATGCTCAGGAGACTGAGGGATTCCAACGGTGAAGTTCCCCGATGTTAAACGTTGTCTAAAGCCACCATTCTCAAATTCATCAGCATCCATATTTAAATAAAAATCAAACTTTTCACAGTACAAACCTGTCGAACAAACAACTTGTGAGCTTACAACTGTGAATATTACCAGATATCAATAAAGATATATATTTCAAGGAAAGTTGGAAACAAAATATCATTCAATAAGAAATTCTAACGAAAATTTGGCAAGTTTCTTATACTGAGCATGGCAAACAGAGCAAACAATCTGTTATCATTGTTAGTGTTGAAGTCCAGTCCATCACAACTCTTCACAAATTCCTCACAAGTCACTTGCAAGTCACTCACAAGTCACTCACAAGTCACTCACGAGTCACTCCCAAGTCACTCCCAAGTCACTAGCAAGTCACTCGCAGGTCACTCGCAGGTCACTCGCAAGTCACTCGCAAGTCACACGCGAGTCACTCCCAAGTCACTCCCGAGTCACTCCCGAGTCACTTCCGAGTCACTCCCGAGTCACTCCCGAGTCACTCCCGAGTCACTCCCGAGTCACTCCCGAGTCACTCCCGAGTCACTCCCGAGTCACTCCCGAGTCACTCCCAAGACAATCGCAAGTAACTCGCAGGTCACTCGCAAGTCACTCGCAAGTCACTCGCAAGTCACTCGCAAGTCACTCGCAAGTCACTCGCAAGTCTCTCACAAGTCATCCAGTCCTAAGTCAAGTCACAAGCTATTCACAGGAACTGTGTCAAACACATTCCTCTGGTCTTCTTTATCCTCTCTTACTTGTGACAAGACTTGTGACTGTCTTGTAATGGCCTTGCGATGGACTGGTTTTTAGCTGCAGAAAGCAGATCAACAAATGGTCATGTCTCTCTATTAGTTGGTTGGTTAGTAACAAACGTCAGCAACAGCCTTGCAATGATATCAATCACCTCGTCCCTCAGGCCCTACGTGAACACAAATTATGCATTGGCCGCTTTGGCCCGCAGCTTCCGAGATCATTTTGAGCTTGTTTTTTTTTTTCCAGGGACCACTTACTTCACTAAACCGTCGTTGTAGTCTATTGTGAGGTCTTTGCCTGAGTCGTACCGGTGTGTAGGCTTCATCTGATGCTCCCGATGTCTGGTCACTCTCCCCGTCGGAGCCCCGTGTGCCGTTCTGCGTCACCATGTCTGAAACAACGTTCAAAAACTAGACAGTCAAGTCCTGAAGAAATCTACACAACTCTGGCAGAGTACAAAACTAAGGTTAATATGTTCATAGCCTTGACTCCATGGGCTGCGTGCACGTTCCTTCACTAACCCCTGGCCGTCTAGAAGGTACATAAACGACCCTGACTGACTATTCAGAGTGTACTGGGTGCGTATTTTGAAGACCGCACACTCTGTGCTCGTGTTATATCTTGCACACCACGTTATGTAAGAACATTTTTTCAAGACTACGCTGCCTATGCGATATGGAGTCTGGAAGCCCAAAATAAAGGTGTCTTGTGTTGTAAAGGGACGACAGAGGTACATATAAATCCTTGCTCTTACATGTATAACGCGACGTCGAAATCTCATGTTTTAAAGGAATGATTCTACAACAACAAAAAACTTTCAAATTTAAAGCACTGCGTTGCGCTTTATTGCATCGACTGCAGTCCTAATTTAAATGTCCCAAATAGTGGGAGATTTATATTACATAATTCCAGGTGTTAAGAGAACGCAAGGCATGACGAGAACCAACATGGCTTCCCAAGATCGTACCCATGGGGAACGAGGTTGCTACATTCGCTCTTTTATGTGCATACGTTGTAAGCACCCCCTCAATGGTTACAAAGAGGCAGTTAAGTTGAACGCATTGCTGCTGTACCGGTACGCCTGGCCTCACATGAAGATGATACAGATTTGTGCGAAATCAGAAAGAAAATATACTTCTTATTTTAAATTCGAACAAAGAAATTGACTGGAGCGGGTTAAAACCTGAGACCTCCGGATTGCTGTTCCAGTGCTCTACCAACTGAGCTATCTAGCCCTATGTTGGCACTTCCCCATTTTGTCAATGTTTGTTCAAGGGCCTTTTAGTCAGAAGCCATTAACCTGAGTGTGCCATGTAGCCAAGGAACACACCCAAAGTCAAGATGCTAGCAACATATTAGCAATGCTGCGAACTTGGGAAATGGGGATCACTGAGAAAGGGTACGGCTTTTTATTACAAATTATCAACAACAAAAAACACAGGGAAACTGAAAAGATGGGTCATTCCACCGGGTTGGGAAACAGTGCATGTTACATCCAAATATTTGGTTATAATTATTAAAATTTTCAATGCATTCTAAACAATTGCTCAACATAATATTTGTCTGAGAGTGTTTCAATACTTTAGAAAGTTTTAAATCATTTGAATGTACTCTGACAAAATATGAGCAAAAATGTATTAATTCAGATGTAACATTGACACCGTGTCAATGTTACATCCAAATATTCTTTTTTTTGCCATATTTTACACGTATGTAAAATATTACCCACACTGACATTGCATATATTTATAATTGGACACCTAATGCACCAAGAACAGCTTTTGTTTTGGCGAAATCAGGGTTCAAATATAGCAGAAACAACACCTTAATGTGGATGTAATGGTGTCAAAATCACTCAATGGAAGTGTGACATTTGGGGTTGACACCGTGTCAATGTTACGTCCACAACCAAGCTATCATTTCTGCTCCACTTGATACCTGATTTCCATAACAAAAGCTTTTCTTATTGTGTTGCATGTATTGTCAGAAGTAGGTAAAGTGAATGTGGGTTATGTTTCACAGAATTTTTAAAAAAAAAAGTACAAATGTCATATTTGGACGTAACATTGACACGGTGTAAATGTTTTGTCCGAAATGACATTTTTGCTCATATTTTTGGCAAAATGCATTTAAAAAGATTAAAAACTTTCTGCAGTTCTTAATGAAACACCCAACAACAAATGTAAAGCAATTGGTAGCAAGGCATTCATGCTTTTTTAAATTAATATGGTCATTTGTCATGTCCATTGTTGCCCAACCCGGTGAAATCATTACAATTATTTTATAGTTGACCAAAGAAATTGACAAGAGCGGGGTTTCCTCCTGCGATCTCCGGACAAATACATTATAATGCACCTTGTCAGATTCCCTACATGTATGTGGGTTTTTTTAATTTGAAAATATACTTGTGTATTTTGCACCACATTTTGTTTCCCTTCACAAAAATAAAACTTTTTTTGGATTAAATATACTCACCTTCTCGCGTGCTACATGTATTTCCATTCTCCTCTATACTCATACTCTCTGTGAGTTCTGATAGTGAGTCCTCAATCACCGAGTTGGCACGAAACGTGCTGGACAGTCTTCTCTTTAACCGCTTCATGCTGACTGAAGCAGTCCGACAACCACACGTGAGCTGCTGTTCAGTTTGTACAGGTGAATGTAGTCTGGTGCTGCCGTGACAATCCACAATTTGACAGCCAAAAACAAAGGCTTCTGCTTTGCAGACAGCAGTCAGTGCTCTGCGCTCGATTGTGACCTCATTAGGAATCTTGTGTGCGTGCACATCTCACTCCAGCGTCACTTCAGAGATATTCGTCAATCTGAAACAAGGAAACAGGTAACAGAGTAAAGACCTGAAATTCAATCGAGCCGACCACTTGGCACAGACTTCAGCAAACTAGGAAGTTGTAGTTGTCAAGTGGCGTGATTTTGGGGTTATGATCTATTCACAGCACTGATGCATGCCAACGATACCACAACTAGCATGGGTCTTGAGAGCAATTACCCGGTATGAAAGAGTGTACAAGTGGCTCAGCAAGTCTATTTATTAAAAGTATAAGAGTAAAAAAAGGCATGAGTGAATAAAATATTGCAACTTGGTAAAAGTGAAAATACATTTTCTTTCCGAGAAACAAACATGTATACATGAACCGGTACATGTACGTACAGCAAGAATGCACGGTCCAAATAGTATGCATGAACATGCCTACATGTACAATGTACGTACCGGTAGATTCAACAAATGTTTCCAAAACACTCCTCACATGTAAATGCATGAATCTCAGCTCCTTCAAAAATAAAAGAATCGCAAAGGCTCCTAACAAAGTTTCAGGAGACAGTCTTCCGATGTCATAGGCCTAAAGTCCGCCCAAGGCCTGGTACAACATGTACACGTTACACAATATGTACTGTACAGTTTGCAGAATGATGACTTTCCATAGTGTGTGTATGTCTACCCCCTGGAACATCGCTCAGTGTCTGTTGTGTGTTTATTATGGCGCATGTTGAAAGTAAACCAATCACCCATGACTTGTTTCCTAGTGGGAATGACAAAACTTGACGTCAATCTGAAGTTTGACCTGCACTTTAACCTTTGGGTTGAACTTGACATTTGGGAATTTTGAGAATGACTGTGCAAACACCGAAAAGTTCACGACACTGTGAATATCGCCAGCAAAGGATTAAATGGGTGTCACATGCACAAACACAGACAGACAGGCAGGCCTGCGGTACGGTTTGCTTGAGCAAGCCATAATAGAGCCTTTGCATTGCAGCCGTATTTGAGGTGCGTGCTTTTGTTCTACAGGGATACGCATGAGCGGACCTCATTGACCTTATGAGTAGCGGACATCTTAGAGGGCATCTTTTGTTATTTTAATTCGGTAACAATGAATGCGCAAAAGGTTCACTCATGATAGATGTATGTCTCAGCAAAACAAAGGCATTGTCCTCTAAAATGGCTGCTACGCATCAGGTCTATTCAGTAAAATAACAACAGCGTGGTTGCTTTAATTCGTCGTATCAGTGTGCGACATTGCGTGCAATCGTCTCGGACGCTGAATTCAGGCCCAAATTTTTTCTTACGTTTTCCAGGTTTTCTGCCGAATCCAATGGAATCCAACAACAGCAGAGTGTGCAGCCATCTGGACAAGCTGGGAGGTTTATTTAGGGCTGATGTCAACATTCAATATTGGTGAACACAATCGCTCGGCTCATCAACATAACTACATGTACGTGTACAAGTACATGAAATAAGGAATCATACAGACTTGACTGTCAACAGATACATGTACCGGTACATGTATTTAGATGGAATGGCTGTTCTGACTACACCGAATATATAACATTCGATCACCAACCACTCATCCAAAAGTGTTTATTTCAATTCAAATATTGTGTAAAGTTGCGTGGTTTAATTGTTTGCCAATGCCACACTGTTGTTGAAATCCATTTTCGCACATGATTTGAGAGCTTCAAAGAGAAATATATGCTCCAACTTCTTCTTCAAGATCGGCCAAAAAGAGCCATGCTACCTCTTCTTGACACGTACCGGTAACATAATAAGATATTTGTCGATTTCCGACCACTTCGGTTGCACACAAATTGCGATTGGCAGCCAGTTTCGACTGGCGCATGTTAAACTCAATCAGTGCATTTCAAACACTGGAATACTCAGTCATGGAGGAAGGAATGACTCAATCAAGTGCAAGGTAGAATAATCAAATTCTAAATTATTCGAGAAATGCAAACCCCTAAGAGAAGGCATACATGTATGGATGTACTGGGATAACACCCCAATGACATTTCTGTGCAGAGGCCTGGAAAGTGGAGGCATACAAATATTCAAGCACCACTGATCCATGGCCTAGGGTTACCCTACAAGTACCGGTACATGCCTAGGAATGCAACTAGCATATTGCTGGCTAAATGTACGTACAGTAGCTTAGTTGCATGCACAAGATATTAATAGTAACACATCAGACATTTTCGGACCATTTAACATACATGTATTTGTTTGAACATAAGCAGACATGCCCGGAATATTGTTTGAATTATGTCACTATGAATATGATGTCCTATTTGATATTTTGGCACAATTACATGTATATTGCCTTTATAAACATAAATTTATAATAAAAAAAAAACAGTTTACTTGAACTTCCTTTCTGGCCATTAGTGGGACTTTGTTTTATTTTTGCAACATTAACACTGTAATACTACCAAGTTATTTGAAGTCAGAAAGAGAATTTTGCCCTTCATGTTGCAGCTAATGTGATCAAAAGTTGACAAACCAATTCATAACAGGTGCATTAATCAGATAAGATGTACATCATTATCTTCGTTGTCGGTTTTGAGGCCGTTGTCCAGTCTGTTCTGGGTTGGCCTGCTTTCTCCCTATGGCTCTCCTCCACTTGGTAAGCTTATCTGCCGGACATAATTAATATACAGCCAAACAGACTACAAATCCATCTCATCAATTTTCACGCATGTAAGATGACAGTCACATTTCAGAATCACCTCCGCAAACTGCTTATTGTGTACCTAATCAATGCAATGAGCAAAGTTTGAAATGTCGTCTGCAATTACATGTACGTACATAAACAGCATTCTTCAATTACATTCTGTGCGTGCCTGTTTGTAAAGATTGAAAATTAAAAGATAAGCTTGGTAAAATATCAGGTGTGTATGTATACACTATGTATCACTAATGAGGACATTGTCTTCTTAAAGGCACAGCCCATCATTTGTCATTTGTGGATCTTGTTCGTTTGAAGCAACAAAAGTGCTCAAAATCGAAAGAAGGGTGCTGAACAACTAACCTAATGAAGTTTCAGCTCAGCTTCAGCTGTATATTTCAAGAAAAACAAAATTCTAGGATCTCGGTTATAAATCAAAAGTTGCTGAATCATGTTTTGAATTGGGCCTGAATTCAGAGTCCGAGACACGTTCTCACAGGGCCGATTGCAGCTACGCGATGTCACGCACTGATCCGACGAATTATAGCAACCGGCGCGCGCGTGTACATCTTGTCAACACTTGCGCGTGCTTTGCCGAATGAAAAAACAAACTACTAAAGGGAAATTTTCAACGATGCGTCTTAGACGCATCGTTGGAAAGGCTCTCTTTCATTGATTTCTTCAAAATGACAGCTTGCCAGAAAGAATAACTTCACAGGGAGTTTAGTTCCCTTACTATCTTTCAACCAAGAATGTTTTTCAACAATATTTACGTCAGTTACTTTTTAGATAGCTGCAAATGATGGACTGTAGCTTTAACCCTAACCGCCTTGGCCTTTTTTGCTAGGATCCATCCTCAATCCTTCAAAGTCCTCCAATTGTTACAAGATAAAAAGTGGATACGGCCTATATACATGTGTACTCCAAAATCATTTTACTTTCACAGCATGCAAAAAAATATAATGAAATGACTATAAATGTGCTTGCACAACGTAAACACAGTCATTATTGAGCATTGGCACATCACGCAGCCTGATCAGGGGAAACCCCGTTTTGTTCCCATAAAAAAATAATATGTTGGGATCTAAAATTCGAATTAACTTTGTATACTTATATGTATGGAACTTTGCCAATCTTAAGAGCAATATGAAGCACACATTTCTAAGTACTTACATGTACATGTACTCCCTACTGTTCCATTCCAAGATAAAAAAAAAAAAAAGACAAAGAGTTTGCTTTCAGGATACAAAACACAATCAGTCTGCAATCCTTCCCCTTTTTCAAATAATAAGTTAACCCTCCCATTGTTTGATCAGTCACAGACAGTCAACACTTTCTTCCACTTTCCCTGCAATGCATTTCAAGCAAAAACGCAGTCAGATCACATTTTCATGTAAACACTGGCTAGTCAAATTCCATCAACAGACAAAAGAGGTAACTGGTAGGTACAGCTACCGGTAGCATACATTTGTATCAATCACCTCCAGTCAAAGCATGGCTGTATCAAATTAACAAGGGAATTCTTGACTGTAAAAAACAGTCACTGGATTGATTTTGACTGCTGTGATGACGTACCGGTAGCTGAATTTGCCAGTCAGACAGGGAGATAATAGAGTCGTCAGGCAAATCAACATGTTGTTAGTCGATCGTCACCATCGCCCCAAAGCCTCTAGTTCCATTTCCCACTAACCTTCAAAATGGAAGAATAAAAATTGATTTCCGAAATTCCGAACCCAAGATGACACAGCCTTATAAGATAGACACCTTAGGGGAGGAGGCAGAGGAAGACAGAGACAGAGACGTAATAGTGAGCGGTGAACCGATCTAGGGTGTCAAAAATGCAATCTCCGTCCCTCCATACAAGAGGCGCGTGAGTACGCCGCAGGCAAATACGAGGGATCAGTTACACCTACGCAAGGAGGAAAAGCTTCCCTGTGGTGCTAGATCACATTTAAAGGAGCTTTGTCTCTCACTTTTCCCTTGAAATGTAATTTAACACTTTTATGAGTCAATAAAAGATACTACAGAATCATTGGATTGCTGCGTGTAATAATAATCCACATCGTACCATAGAGCTAGGACCCAGTTTACATACATACATGTACATGTACATTTGTACATGTACATTATAATCATACATGTAGTTTTACGGAGTGTTAAAGACAGGGTTTGAAATTGGGCGTTTAAAGTTTGCCTTGAATTAAAAATGAGGTGTTTGGGTTACTTACGGTACATGCACCGTACAGGTACATGTACATTTTATACATTTGCATGACAAAATAGGGAGTTTGGCATCTACCGGTACATGCAAATACCCTATGGGAGGCCCGAAAGATGGCAAAACAATCCATTGACTAAAAAGC